TCAAAACCTCCTGATCAGAGCCCTTGCTGTTGGATGCAGTTTATCGTCTTACCACTGACGCGGATGTAGTTTATCGTCATACTCAGGATGGTGGAAGAATTAGAGATAGAAAAATTAATAATGAGCAGAAAGAGAAGAAAGTAATCAGGTGGACAGTAGATAGCGATTGACATTGCATTCAAACTTTTGCATATTAAAGTTGGCTGGAAAGCATGGAGCCGGAAGAGAGTTTCACAAACGAGAAGTGCGAGAGAAGAAACTGTTAGCATAGAATTTACGACTACTTATATCCAGCTCTACTGTAAATGAATGAGATCTCGACGCCAGTATTGTGCTGCGTTTAAATTAAAATAAACTGTGTGTACTATAGCGAAGAGCGATTTTTATTCGGCCTTATTTAAAGAAATGTGGCACAAGGCCAAAATGGTGAATGGGGAAAAAGATAGTCTTCTAATGTCTTAACATTAAACGTAGATAGCCACAATCACTGACCCAAACATACCACGATATTCCTTACACCAAGACAACGCATTCTTACGTAATATTCTTACAGCATCCACCACAATACCTTCAATATTTCAATGAAAATCCTAAGTAGTTCCCATAGCGAAGAATTCATTGAATGTATTTGTAGAAAGGATATAGAGAATCAACCTTACGTCGGCGGAAAAGTGACTGCAGTTGAGCCGTCAGATCAGGGACAACAATATTGCAGATTCTTTTTTGGATCTTATCACGGAGTTCAAGGTAAATAGCACCATATGTGTCAGCAATATTCTAAGCAAGGACGAATGGTAGATTCATAGATATGTAAGACAGATTTTGGAGGGAAAAATTGCTTTTAACCGAAAGGCAATAAAAAGTAGATAAGAAAATAGGTGTGTTCTGATTTCTTGCCTTCCCCAGACGAAGAAGTGGAAGAAAGGTTTTTGTATTTCAATACGCGAGGAAAACTTACCAGATATCGTGAAGCTTAAGAACTGGGTTAAATTTGAAGTAATTCAAAAGACGGGATTGATGAACCAAATAAGAATTCCGATTGCAAACGTTATTCGTTTCTTCGTTCTCTGACGTTTCGGAAAGGCATACACTATATCTTATATCTACGTTATTAATTACTTTGGCTGTTGATTTATTAAAATCTTACTTATTATAAAACCCAGGTTTTGTGTGTGTGTGTGTGTGTGTGTGTGTGTACGTTTATATATTGGATCGGATTCCCTACATTTTTCAACCGATTTCAACAAAACTTCACAGGACTACGTAAAATTACCTTGTGGTGGTTCTGACAGCGCCAAAAATTGGAAAAAACACAATTGTTTTTGCATGAAATCAATTTGAAAACACGATTAAGAGGCATTAATGAAAGGGGGACAACTCATATCGAGTTATACTTATTAATATCGAGTTATCGAGTTATACTTATTATAAAACGCAGGTTGGTTGTTTGTGTGTGTGTGTGTTCGTTTATATATGGGATCGGATTTCCTACATTTTTCAACCAATTTCAACAAAACTTCACTTTTTTGGCAGGTAGTGTTTCTTATTGTCTTGCACACTTTTTTCTTTACTTTTACATTCAGAATGCTTTAAAAATTCCATTTAAAAGACAATTGTTTATAATAAAATTCTATTCAATCGGTAGACTCATAACGATTGAAAACAATGTTTTTGTTTGAGTTTGGGTTTGACCAATTCGTAAAAAAAACCCACAAAAAAACAAAAAAAAGACTAATTAAGATATGCGTGTCCGTCAACCATAAACAATAATCTTTGTCAATTTTATTTTTCAGTCTTTATGATGGTCGATACTTGATCTATCTCTTACTGTTACATCCCCGGGCAACGCCGGGCTCTACTGCTAGTCATTAATAAGGGAAGGATTAGAAATACGCTCTCTCGGTTAAGCTTCTGTCGCTATCATCTGAAATATACGGACACATCAATCAATAAAAGGAACATTACTGTTATAATAAGAATTGTGGCATGCAACTCTCGCTTTTCAGTTCTTATCATGATGTCACTATTCGTTTTGGTAAACAGACACAGAAGCACAAGCATACACATATATACGGAAACATACGTGTTTACTTATCATTTACACACGTACACATATTTTAAGCATCTCGTCTCCGAGAGTGTTTTTTTTTTAAATAAACAATATGGCTTTCACTTCTCTAGTTTAACTGCTGAAATGTTAATGGTTATTGCGCAAAGAGTCTTTCAAACTTTAGACAATATTGGTAAATCTCGAACAGTTGATATGAATATCCTCAAAGCGCGTGCCAGGGTTTTGCATGCTATTTTTCGTCACAAGTTGAAAAGTAATTTTATCTCTGGAATAATATTATATTCGATTCAATCTTGTCCAATGTCCACGAAATGAAACTCATCTTGAACGGCAACTCTTCTATATCTTTTTGTATTAATGCGGACGGGACATCTATCCTTGAAACTGCGCTGTTCCTGATTTTCTTTAACGACTTTCCCGATGTCATCCGTTCTCAACTCGTTATCTATGCTGATGACACAGCTATTCACACCTGTCTTAATGGTAAATCCTAAAACTTCGACGATGTCAGATTGTCTGCTGATCTCCAAAATGGCCTTCAATCTGTTGTGAACCAGAGTTAGAAACAACATGTTAATTGTAACGACTCCAAAATAAAACTACTCTCTTTTAATAATTTCAGAAAATCGTTTTGCTCTTCATCAGTATGGCTGATGCTAACCTCCATGAGAGTAACTCCTTGAACCTTCTCGAACTAAATTCTTTCGGTGAAATGAAGGGAAAAGATTATATTGAATCAACGGCTAGATCTGTTGCTAGGAAAGTTGGTTCATTGGGTCGTGCAAAACGACCTATCCCATTCATTGATAAGTCGACCATTCGTCCATGCATTGAATATTGCAGTCACAGCTGATCTAGTCCTTCTATTATGTATTTAGAGATTCTTGATAAAATCCAAAGAAGAATCGGCAATAGAATCGGTCCTGATCAGGCATCACTTTTCCTCAGCTGGGACATAGCTTCCATCTACCTTTTCTATGAATATTTCCATGGCAAATGAAATATTTCCCACCCTACAACCTCTTTCCCACAGACGAATCATAGCAATCGTTTCGTTACTCTATCGCTATTCCCATGGCAAATGCTCAGTTCAGGCCCTTAGAATTAAGACACGCCGTACCAAGTATACAGAGCCGAAACATCCTGTGACACCATTTAGGGATGCAAAGAAAAGGAAGAAAAAAAGGGAAAGAAATGAAATTTTGATAATGAAAAATGGTGAAGGGTTTCATTGCCATTGTCGAGAATTCTAAATAGATAAAAATTAACTGTGTCGGGAATAGATAACAGCCACTTGGTGCTGGCGAAAAACTAATTGACAAGTTCCAGATCGGCTAGCTAAACTCCGGGACAGAATAGATAAACATTTAACTGTGTCACGGGAACGCCATTTGGGGCTTCTACAGAAAACTACAGAGATAAAAATTTAATAGGTCGCCCGTTGACCACACACGAGCTGAAAAAAAAAGAAAACAAAGAAAATAGGTTAAGTCTTTATCGATGGAAAGATATCGTTAGACAAAGTACCTGGGTTGTGTTAGAATCTGGCGATAACAGCGAAACGATTTTATCGGAAAAGTTGGCTGTGTTTCGCTAGATGACACCCACCTGATAATTGGCGAAAATCTGATTGACGAAGTCCAGATGAAAGTGACTTTGGGATAGGAATTGAGGTTATCACACTACGGGTCGTATTGTTCTGTTGGCGGACAGAGAAGAAGAGAGAATAGAAAAGAAAAGCAAGAAGGGAAATAGAAAAAAGAAAAAGAGGAGATAATTCTTTTTTCTTTGAGCAAGATATTTTTAAGAAACAAGGCTAGTCTGGTCACACCCACATTGTTGATCGGCCATCGGATGAATGTTAACGAGAGCCAGGCAGAGGTGATCATGTGATGCAGGGGGGATCCTGCTACCACTCATTAAAGAGGATAGGTATTAGATGTTACTGCGAAGAAGTAGGAAAATCGTTGACGCCCTCTGAGGGTATGGTAAGAGAAGACTTCCAAAAATGGAAATAATAAATTTTTCCTGACCGAAAACAAAAAAAGGGGATTGTGGATTTGAAATTGTCAGGGAACCTCAAACCCCGACAAAGCCCACCCCGATTTTGGTCGGCGTCCATATAAGCAAAGTCGCAGCGAGCGAAAATCAGTTGGAGTTCCAGTTTTCCAGAGTCTCCAGTTCGCAGTTGAAGTGGGTCCCGCCTCGCAGAGCTGACTTGAAAGATTCGCGCAACTTCCGAACTCATCTTCAATCCGAGAACAATTTATTTTTGAAGAGCGACTTAGATTCATACCACCAAAACAAGTTTTACGACTATCGCCTGAAGACACACCAAGAACCAGTTTCTTAAAGAACAGACAACTTAAGATGTTAAGACTCACCTAACAAAAACAACGTGTCACGAATCCATATAGCGGGTCGGGAGATAGACGGAGTTCTATGTATCCAGCAACCAGATATAAAGTATTGTTATCCTTTTTTTGATACCTTTGAGCTTTTGAGTTATTATTTTATTTTATTTTACACATATTGGTGCGATACCACCCTTATTTGAACTCAACTTGCATTACGGCCCCGACGACTGATTGATTTCGTCTGCCTAAGATCAATTCACAACGTGGGTAGGCGGACTGGAGATCAACGCAGTTAATTCGGTAACCAGACGTTGGAAGCGAGTTGGGAACGACGAGGCTGATATCGGATCTGACCAGATTCCCATCCGAATCACCAAAAGGTTAGAACGTCACATTTGGGTGCCGCGACCGATACCAAGCCAGATGGTCGTCACAGGACGGGACAACACGACTGACGCAGACTGGCGGACGTCACGTTTGGAGTGGCGACACCCGAACGAAGAAGCGAGGAACGAGCAAGGCTAGGGGACGTCACAATCCTCATTTCATTCGTATTCCATTTGTAAGGAGGAAGTTCATTTTGAACAGCTTCCCTAGAACTGCTACTTTGTGAAACAGAGTCACAAGGGGATGTTTTACCGATCACTACAATCTCACCATCTTCCAGTCTCGGGTCAACCTCGTTTAGTAACCCTCTAATTTGTGTGGCTCGTGAGGCTTGTGTTGATTGAGCAACAATAAAAAAATATTTGGTTGTCTAGATAATGTCATCATATAAGCGACAGTGTTGATATGCTATTAAAACAGAACAATCAATCGATCAGTTATTATTGAATATGTGATAAAACCCTTCGTGAAGAGAACATCTCTCTAGTCTGAAGTGAGCTAATAAATTAGATTTTCAAAAGGCATAAAACCTTCAGTTTATGGCGATTCTTCGAAATCAAGCCGATCTCTCTTTTCTAGGCATTTTTACATTTACTCACCCACGCTTACAGACACGTAAAACAATTGTGTGAAGCATCTGCATATTTCTTAATAGCGTAATTTCTTTTTTCAATCCAAGATAAAAAAAAAAGATCTATCTATCTATCTATCTATCTATCTATCTATCTATCTATCTGTTTGTATGTCCGGTGATACCTACGTACATATATACTTATATATATATATATATATTGACAGAAATAAAATGAGAGAGAGAGAGAGAAACTGCCATAGATGCGTATGAAGTGACTAAAGTAGACAGATACATAGATAGATAGATAGATAGATAGATAGAGAAAGAGAAATGAATTAATAGATAGATAGAGAGAGAGAGAGAGAGAGAGAGAAAGAGAGAGAGAGATGAGGAGACTAATATAGATATCAAGATGCTGAGATAGATTGGTATGAAGAGACTGTGGTATGCAACAATGAATAAATAGATGGTATATATATATATATATATATATAGAGAGAGAGAGAGGGGGAGAAGGGAGGAGAGAGAGAGAAGGGAGGAGAGAGAGAAGGGAGGAGAGAGAGAGATAACCAGTAGCAAAAGCGATTGGACTGTCTAGTGAGAGAGGATTTGTTTTCTGTTTACTCTTGATTGACACCATTCATTCTCAGAACGTTTATAAAATGGCGCGATGTTTTCTGCCTGTTTACAGGAATATGCCAATTTCTAATGAAGGCATCTACAAGCATAAGTTTTCGGTAATACATTTTTCTTTGTTTCCAGGTTAAGATGGCATCCAGTCTGTTGAAGAAGTTGCTTAGAACTTCTTTCATGTTTATTGTTCGAATACTTTTACCATATTTTTCTCGTGTTTTTCATTCTTGTTTGTTTTTGTTTTGTTTTTTCAAGTATTTTTTTTTCTATTATCTTCTCATAAAATCCTTTTTTTTTTTAGTCATTCCTTCGTATTTTTTCTTTCTTCATTTTCATGTTATGACTAGAGTTTGGCAGCGGATTTCTTCTCTGACAGCGCAATCGGGGGAAAAACTGGCCGTTTACATTCAATGTCTCAAAGATCAAACTATTGACCTTCCACCGAACCAAGAACTTTCACCATTGGTGATGAAAAGATCTTCCCGTCGGGGAGGTCCGGAGCCTCGGCTGCCTGTTGGACTTCAAATCAACCCTAACCTCAAGTGGAGCTCCTACATACTATCCATCGCTGAAGATTCTGGAGAAATAGTCGGTTTCTTGTACCGCTCACTCCTCCTGCCATCTTCTATCTCTACAATAGCCGGATCAGGCCGAAAATGCTGAAGTTCTGTCATATATGGGCTAGAGCATCTTAGTTTTTTCACTTTCTACCCTCGATAGAATCCAAAGCGTCTCCGCGTCCTTGTAGACGACGGATTATTTTCCACTCTCACAGATGAGACGTCGCAAGCATTTCAACTCTATCGCTATTTCCATGGTGAGTGTTCAGATAAACTACACAGTACCATCAGTCCTAACATTCACGGACCAAGACGCACCATTCTACGCAAATTGTAGCAAACAACTTTCATTCTCTTCCTATCCCCATGGTGAGATGTAAGCAGTTTCTTCCCACGAACCATTGCATTCTAGAACCGACTCCCAAAGGGTGCTTCGTCGATCACTACAATATTAACCTGTTCAAGTCTAGAGTTGACCGTTATTTTCCACTCCTATCCTTAAGAGCTATTTATCTTACTCCGTAAGCCTATACCTTCAGTGTTACTAGGGACTTGTACAGCGTGAACATCAATGTAAAAAATAAATTCCTTTTTTTTTATCCCTTCCTTGCCATTTCTTTTTTTCCAATTGCTCTTTCTTTTATTTTTCTTTCTTTTGCTTCTTTCCTTTTTTGTTCTTTCTTAGATTCGTTCTCATTCTTTCTTTTTATTCTTATTTTCTTCAATTCCTTCTTCTTTATTCTTTCTTGTTTTTTCTTCTTTTTATTTATCTTTTATAAAACCTTTTTTTCAGTTTCATTTTTAATTCTTACGGCTTTTTCATTCTTTCCTTTTCTCTCTCATTGTTCTTTCTAAAAAAAATTCTTCTTTTTTACCACTACTACTATTACTACTACTACTCTTTTTTCTACTTTTACTTCTTTCTTTTCTCTTTCTTTTCTCTTTCTTTTCTTTTTCTTCTTCTTCCATTTTTATTTCTTTCTTCTTATATTACGTTTAGTTCGTTTCCTTCTCCTTTCCTTTTTTTTCTTCTTAATTTTCTTCCTTCTTTTTTTCTTTTTCTTCTTTCTTTCTCAGTCTCTGTTTCACATTCTTTGCTTTTGGCGTCTTTTTTCTTTTTTTCTTGTTCTTTTTTGTCTTTCTCTCCCTTTATTCCTCTCTCATTGTTTTTTTTTTTTTTTGTTTATTCTTGCTTTATTACGTCTTTTCTTTTATTCTTTCTCTTTCTTCTTTTTTCTGTCATCTTCTTCATTCGTATGTCTTTATCATCTCCAATTTTTAATGGAGTTGAGAAAAAATAAACAAAGGAAAAGAAAATAATTACAAAGCGAGAAAAGTGCATCTTGGGTAAAGTGTGTTTTGACTAAAACATTTTGGTCGAAAAAACGCTTATTCGAATGTTTTTGGAATAATGAGGGTCATGTAATATGAAAACCAAAGATGATAACGTATTTAAAGTAGTTTTGTTTCCATTCTGAACTGTATTTATTTTCCTTACATTAGTTTTGTTGAAACTGCTTCTTCCTACTCAAAATATTTTCCTCGATTTCACGTCTCGTTTAATGTCAGCTTTTTCTAAAAATGTTGTTTAATTCTGCTTCCATAACAAGGAACGAAATCGAAAATACCAATGACAGAAAAAACGTGGGTGTGTGATGTAGGGGCTTCGATTTCTCTTAAAAAAAAACTCGCTCGTTGCTATTTTTTTATTCGTTTCTCAGTCAAAATTGAAGCTTTTCGTTGTACATTATTTCTCTATCAATCGTCTGCTTTTTTTAATCTGTTGTTTTTGTTTCTTGAGTAGAGTTTCATTAGATCGATTCACTTTGAATTTTACACACACGCGCAAAGTTATTTTTATGCTGCGATAATTTATTTCAATTCTTATGGAAAAAAGAAATAACAATAATAAGTACCTGTATCGTGAAGCAAGAATGTAAAAATATTACACTTGTAATTTTACGCAACGTATTTCATTAGATGTTGTAATCTCTGATTCCCATAATTCAAAATACATACTGATTGACCTGAGAAAAACCGGCGAAAATGTTACAGATAAGACGTTGGACAAGAATATTATGAAGTCAGCCATGTTTGATTTTTGATTCTTCAACTTTACGTGCAATAATTTCCCATCATTCATTGCTTGAGTATGTTTTTCTATTCTTGTATACATTTCTTTTAATAATAGACTACGAGTTTTCCATAAGATTAATATCTGGATAGGCTGGGAACCATTCCATTGATTTGATGTCTTTGAAATATTTGGGGAGGGGGTAAGATAGACAGTAGGATGTTGAAGAGCATTATCTTGCAGGAATATACTCTCGTAGGATGGACAATAGTTAGCTTTTACAGGATACATACTGATTGACCTGAGAAAACCTCGCGAAAATGTTGCAGACAAGAAGTTGGACAAGAATATTATGAAGTCAGCCATGTTTGATTTTTGATTTTTCAAATTTATGTTCAATAATTTCCTATAATTCATGGCTTTAGTATGTTTTTCCATTCTTGTATGATAGGCTACGAGTATCTATTAGATTAATATCTGGAGATGCTGAAAACCATTCCATTAATTAGATGTCTTTGAAATATTTTGGGGGGTAAGATGGACAATGGTTACCTTTACATGATGTTGAAGAGCATTATCTTGTAGAAATATACTCTTTAGTTTAAATATTCTTGCTAGGGGTCAGTATAACTAAAAAGCAAAAACAAAAGTCTTTTGTTAAATAACTTACAATAATCCTTTGCATTTATCTGGATACTGTTATCAATTTTAAAGAGAAATATAATGTTATAGCAAATTTATAGTAGTCCAAACTATTATTCCGTCTCTCTTAACAGTTGTCTTCCAATTCATATTGGTTAACTATATCCATGAAGAACCAAACTTCTAGCTCAGCCATCAAATCCATCTAATGTAATTCTACATTTTTCAGAAAGTTATTTTAGAAATTATTTCTCATATAATTTTTTTGTACAAACTAGAATCTTTTTACAACACGCTGGCATGTGTTAAAATCCTCACAGTATTTAATATTGTTGAAGTTATCGCTAAAACTTTTTTGAGATTTCCAAACTCTACATTTCATTCAATTTCACAAACGAATCAATGAAATTTGGATAAGCTGATTTGTTTGGAAAATACTTTGGCAAAAACCTTACTTCGTGGTTTAATAATTTCTTTAATTTAATCTTATAAGATTTCATGTTAAACAATATTTTTAAGAAAATTTCCTTTTTTCCTTTTCAACAGCAAAGAATAAATTGTTAGGATTTCTTACTCTTAAGGAATCAACATACAACTGGCCATATGTAAAAAAATTCTTTCTGGAGCCAAATTCCAGCTTTTTCAAGTGTTTGGCCTTGTAATTTGTTTATAGTTCTCGTTTAGAGGGTGTGATATACACACAGATGGAAGTCATAGAATTGTATATGTAGATTGTACTTTTTTATGATATTTACTTAAAGTTGGTAGTTTGGTGGTTTTTATGCTTTTAGCCAATATTCTTCATATTCTGTATCGTTTTTCTTTGTTTATTTTAGCAACACTACCTACTTCAGATATCTTTTTGCAAGTCTGGATACGATAGGTAAATTGTTGCCATTTTATATTTTTAATTTCGCGCATCTGCGTTATTTTTTTTTTTATTTTGTCAACTGCACAGTATATTAGGGTCAGCTGGGCACCATCTGTGATGACGCAATTCACTACGCCATAATTTGGAAGCGGTATGCTGTACTCCTTGGCACTCGCACCGGAAACTCCAATATGAACATTTCAGCGTGTTTGGGTGTCAATCTGAGGACAGTGCAGATGTTTCGGAAAGAGTTGGATGAGTCTAATGGTGATTATAAAGGTGTTTGGTGTGAGCACTAGTGAATGTTTTATTTAATAAACTGAATTATTGAATAAGATTTTATTGAAAAAATTTGCTCTTTAGTATTTCAAGATATTCTTGTGTAATTTTGGTAAATATAGCTGTTAAAATGAGATGTCAGTATTATTTCCATTTTTGTATAATTTAGATGACAATTTATCCATCGCACCCTATATATATGACTGTGTGTGTATGTGTGTGGCTTATTTGTCTATTTGTCATATGTTCATCTATATGTGCACGAATTTGCATATATTTTGACAACTGATAAGTTAACCTATTACAACAGCCTCCAGAATTTGAAGCTTTTTTTGCACTATTACCAATATTTTGGTGTTATCAAGTAATATTTGTCAAATGTTAATATCATTTTGCCTATCTGTCATTTTTTGCCACTTGGTTGATATTAATAAATGTTTTTCGTATTGATTTAATCGGTACCCTTTCCTTTGACTTTGTTTTATTAACCAACTTATCAACTCTATTATATATATATATATATATATATATATATATATATATCACAATCATGATCACAACGGAACTCACCAATGTGATCA